AAAAAAAAAAAAAAAAAAGTCTAGTCTGGGAGTTCTTAGTATAAATTAACTTTAAAACTTCAAGATCATAATCAAAAGATTTTATACTACACTGTTTACTTTATACTATATACAGAATGTAGATCTATGTGGCACTTTGAAGTGAGTGGCTTCTGCTTAGGCACCAATTCCGGGATGTCTTAATCAAAGACCAATATGTTTTAGTAAGTTAAATGGGGGCTGATGTTTGCAGAACAACTGTGATGTTTCCTTTGTGCTGATCATTCAAATGGCACATGTAAACATCAGCTCCGAACGTACTTGCTGGAATGGAGAAGCTGTGAAAGTTGGAACACAGCACCAACGTAGTTTTACTTCGTGTGTAGTCAAAAAGTTTCTTTAGATCTGTAGTGTAAACAAAATTCATTTTAGGTAATCAAGAGATTAGTATATAACTTTCTAATAAAAACTTCCATAACAGGATTATCCCCTTCTTCTCCTCCCAACCCTACCCCAATTGCCCACAATTTCCAGAATATAATTTACAGATAATCTTCCTGTTTATTTAGGGTCATTAGGGGTGCCAGCATGGTGCAGTGGTTCCCTAATTTGACAGGAACCAGTAATCTGGAGAGCCTGTAAGTATCTTCTTCCAAACACTGTCAGTACATTAATTTCTTGTTCTGTCTCTTCTTGGAACAATTAGTGTTACCCATTAACTTCCAATAGTAGAAGTGTAGCTTAGAGAACAGGGCTAAAAGCCAGGAGATCTGGATTTGAGTGCCTCACAATTTTTAATGTATATGCTTGTGACAGTGGCATAGCCAGGATGGGACAGATAGACCCCAACTTCGGGTGGGCAAGCAATAGGACATGTCATAGTGATAGGGCTGCTTGGGGGCTTTCCTAGCTGGCCTTGGTGGAGAGGATGGGGAAGAGATGCTCTGGCAAGGGGCCCTAATAAAATTGCGGGGCCCTACAAAAATGTGTACCCTGCATCTCCACACACTTCGTCATCTAGTGCTTGGGGATTGGCCAGCTCTGCCCACCAGGCACTCTTGGGGAGAGGATCAGGGACTTACCGGCTCCACCCATCAGGAGCTCCCGTGGGGGAGTGCAGTCAGGACATGGGAGCTTGAGCTGCTCTGCCTGGTGCTCCAAGCAGGGTCAGGAGCTTGCCCTGCTCTCCCAGCCTGCCTGGTGCTCCAACCTGGGAATGGAATCGAGAGCTGCTCCACTTCCGCTGCCCACTCAGCACTCCAGCCACACCCCCCAGCCACAGAAAGGATTAGGGTCCTGCTGTGCCACCCGTTCCCCGCCCATCCAGTGTTCCAGTTGTGGAGTGGGATTGGGGGCTTGCCCTGCTCCCCCTTTCTGCCTGGCATTCCT